AAAAGAAAGGCCGAGACTCTTGGATCACAGATACTTCTTAGAGACTGACGAATATCGATCAGAACTAACAGAGAGAAACAAACCGAAATCGACAGATATGGAAAATCACATACTGCTCAAAAACTGGTGGGTGCATTGAGGCACATTTGACAGGAACCGCTCTTAGGGACTCCTAGAGTAAGGATACAGGATGGGGAGAGACCAGGTCCAATAGGAGGCTCCTCTTGGTGGGGTCAGGGGAGAGACCCGGTCCAATAGGAGGCTCCTCTTGGTGGGGTCAGGGGAGAGACCCGGTCCAATAGGAGGCTCCTCTTGGTGGGGTCAGGGGAGAGACCCGGTCCAATAGGAGGCTCCTCTTGGTGGGGTCAGGGGAGAGACTGGGTCCAACAGGTGTCTCCTGGTCTTTGTGTCTCCACAGCAGATGCTTCCTCTCAGGAAGCTAGTGCAGGTGGGCTTATCCATTCATCTTTTATGGTCTGGCCTTTTCATGATGACCTTCATCAAACATGATTTAGGACCTGAGATGAGAAGGTTTAAGGCTTGCTAAAGATCGGAACCGACCACGGCACAGGGTGAGGCGCAGAAGATATTTCATACAGCGTTTGCCACATCTGGCACGCAGAGCAGAACACGCAGACGTCATCGCCGCAAGCGGCTAGCATGCCGCTGGGTCGCGGCTGCCAGGGAGTGGCGTCAGCCTGAGGTGACCTCATGCTGAAAAGGAGAACAGGCACTTCATCACGTTTCCTGTTGTCCACTGGCACGTCGGCCATGTCACAGTCGCTAATTCAAAGGAAGGGACTTCGGCTGCTGAATGCAAGAACAGGTCGTATTTTTAAAAAAATATCACCACTGCTAACTTCACATCTCACATCATACAGATGATTATTGAGATTGGATAAAGCCATAAAAACTGGGAGGCGTGAGAGCGATAAAACTCACTTCAAGAATTATGACCCTGCTATACTAGGCATGTTCCATCCCTATTCTGGTTTACAAGCTCTCTCCACATCTTTCATCACTCACCCCCAGCTTGTGACTCCTCCGAGATGTCCAAACCCACGACAGGTCCCTGGCCTCTGGATCCACCTTCAGGGGTGCTGGCTTTGACCGGAAGGGATACGGACTTCCGGACTGGGCCAAAAAAAACGAGATAAATGTGTGAACTGCGTACATTGGGTGTTGCAAAGCTCACTGAAGTCATCCGCTCTCAGCTCCAATGGAAGACAGGGGGATTCCAAATGTCTGTATATCTTTAAATAGAAGCCAAGATCAAAAACCTGTCCTTGTTTTTTATTATTTGCCCCCCCACACCCCGAACAACATCTGTGCCATGGTTTTAGTCAGATAGGTAAAAACAGGCCATGTGGTAATTTGGACTGCCCACCCCCTCCATCCCATAGAGAACAGGAAGACCCACTTCCTTCTGGAGGGCGGAAAAGCATCTCTAGTGCATGCATTCAGTGTGAGTCAGCACGTCCGTCGCATGAGGACCCCCAGCAGCCCCCCCCCCCCCCCCCCCAGGCTACTGCGCATACTGCTGAGCAGCAGGTCAGTGCTGGCTGGACCATGTGGCCTATCCCTGGCAAGACATGAAGTCTGGCTTCCTTGAGAAGAATGGAAGAAGACTCTCATAGGGAGTACCATGTGGATCATGCAACCTACCGGGCCTTATTGAGCTGCTCAGCCATTAAGGCATTCCAGTACATCTGATTCTGATACGACAGCACACTGACGAAGTACAGGAATGTGTTTAAGAAACAAGCTTGGCCCGGTTGCAGCTGTAGCACCATTGCATGGCATGAGGGCAATTCTTCATGGTCAGACTTAGATCTGAGACCCAAGAAGCACCATGGCTATAGGGACCACACTCACCTCCATTGGATGTCAAACAGCTACAGTACATCAGGCTAAGGTTACAAATGCCAACCATTACCATGACAGTATATGACATGGGAGTGGTGCTGCAGGTGACTGGGTATGCGGGTTGCAGGGGGACCGGTGTTGCTGAACCGGTAACCTCCTCTGAACTGGTTCCACGAACAGGAAAAGCGTTCAGTAAAAGACATCAGTAAATAAATCAGTAAAATATCCACCATGCAAAACAAGGAAGAATCCTTCCAGTAGTAAATCACCTCTGGTCATGTGCTACCAATATATGACATTTCAGTATGACAGTTTTGCTGCAGTAGTATTTATGGTGTATATTTACGCTGGTAATCTCCTGCACTGAGGCCCCCAGTACACCTCTTTGACAGGGTATAAGTCAGAGTGTATAAATTTACATAGAAAGGGAAAAAGAAAGGAAGCCATCTAAGTCAAGCTTTCACCCTCGGAAATCATGACAGGATGAATTACCTGCTAGGTGACCTACAGCTGTAACATTACCACATATTTCTAGGGTGACCAGATAATCTATGTCAGAGAAGAGACACTGAGCTACTTTAAGTTTTACAAGCTACTTTAAAACCAAAAGGATCCTGTGCTCGGCTAAATCGTTTGTTTCCTTGATTGAAACACTCATCCAGCTGTTTCACAATAATATTAGTGGCACGTGTATGATTATGGGAGACTGACCAATCAGCACAAACTCAGTGCTTAAGTGAAATCCAGGTCATTTTAATTGACATGTTAGTTTACAAATCCTGTCCTAGGTGAAGGTGTCCTCCCTGACATGGATTATCTGGTCTCCCAACCTTTTTCTCCTGATGCTATGTGGGCATCAGTTCTGAGAAAGAACTGAAACCATGGATACTGATCTACTCATCATAAAATTGTTTGTGGTGCTCCATTCAGAAAGCATAGAAGCGCACCTTCTTTCATGTTTAACTGGTTTCCAGACATTAAGACGTCACAGCGGCAGGTTTCACAAAGGCACTCCAACCTGGAATTACGTTATTCCGAACTCGAGGGATGAGATATTCAAACTTCCAATCGGGACTGGAACTTCCTAAGACAAAGCCTAGACATACATAGGAAACAAGCCTGAAAATAATTATTCCAAGGAAAATTTTGGATTCTTAAAAACAAAAAAAAAATCGCAAAAGGGGATCCCTAATGCCTCCGTGTCCTAATGAAGTTCAGCAGGACATTTGTACCCGTGCAAAGAACTTGCATTCAGCCTCATCTGGCAGTGCTTTCCAAGGGCGTTCTCCTCATTTGTCATCACAGCATAAGCGTGATGCTCTCGGGGATGCGACCTCAAATCAAAGCCCTCCTCCGGAAACCATTTGTTCAACACATCCCAAGGCCATTAGAAAGGCAGGCGGAATGGTGAAACAAAAGGCTCGCAAGGAGCTCTGTAGGCCGACTAACCAAGAGCCGTCTTTGCTACATAATGACAGAGAAACTCTACAATGTGTGCGTCAGCTTCGGTCAGGAAGACATGAGCTCTCCTGAAATTAGACTTGGATTTTGGTTCATTTTCAAATTCATCTGATAAGCTGAGAGGATTTTATCTTCCAGAAGGCAAGACAACATCTGGGATCCTCTAGACCAGGGGTGTCAAACTCCAGTCCTGGGGGGCCGGAGCCCTGTGTAGCTTAGTTCTTTCCCTGTTCCACCACAAATGATTCAGCTCAAGAGCTGTGTGGTAATTAGCACGAGGAGGCGCAAGGAGTTGAATCAGGTGTGTTAAATGAGGGGAAACCAGAAACTGTGCAGGGCTCCGGAGTTTTACACCCCTGCCCTAGACCAAGACAGAATCTGTAGTCTTGGAAAGAGGGGTCAGGTTAAACTAGGTTGGCAGGTTGCCACGGTAACCCTCGCCAGGAAATATTATATGAAAAGTGGTGAGATGCAAAAGTGCCAACTGACATATAATGGACATATACACAGAGCGTGACTTGGGACAGGAATCACACCTGTGACATGCTGGTCACTCTTTTTTGTGAATACACCTTTAGCCAAATTTCAGTGGCCAATGTCAGTCGTAAAAAGGTTGTCAGACTCTTCATGAGGACATTATGGGACCAAGACGCCACTGATGATACAAGACTAGGCGACCGTGATGGTTCCTTGAAATGACACATATGCAAGGAGTTTGAAGCTCATTCTTATTGTCTGGAAGTGGTCTATGTGAGTCAGGAGTGGATAAAATAGGATGAGCGTTGGTGCTTGAAGTGATTCTGACCAGAGAGCGCTCTTCAGGACAGAATAAACACTGAGCGTATCTGGTTAAACTGTGTAGAAGCACCGACGGGGAAAGCCAGCTGAAGCCTGTTGGGGGTGGAGGGGCTCCCCAGGACTGACACCCTGCCTTGGCACTATGGATGACAGCGGGTGCCAGTACAGGTTCTGGCTGTTGCAGGAAAGAGGGCACCATCTTTCTGGGTCTTCCTACCTGAACCTGGAAGAACAAGAAACATCATGAAATCCAGAGCTTGATTTTTTTTGGAGAATCAGAGGACTGATGTACTAGTACAAGACAAAAAGGGGCCATATAGCTCCCTGACTACTGAACACCTACAGCTTTGGCTTTTGCCATAGAAAAGTCAGGGACACTAGCAGTCTTCAGTTTCTGCTATTTCCTGTTCCTTCCTGCTTTCTCGCTTCTCCTGTTCATCAAACAGCGAAACATTCCTCTAATGATTACCACACTTCCGAAAAGGGGGAGGCAAACACAAGTATCGCCATGGCAACGTGCCCTCACTGTGTCCCTACTTCAGACAAGGGAGGGAAAGCTGATGAAGCGCGTGTTTGTTGTCGGGTCAGTTTTGCCATGCAGGAGTTAATGTGTAAATCCAGTCTAATTGTGTAGATCTAGAACTACGACTAGAGGAGCAACAGCTAAGGAAACCCCATCAGTATGTATGTCTTGTTGTGTTTGCTGTAGGTTGAAACTCATTCTCTTCTCACCTGTGGAGTCATCCTGGACCGGCTTCGGGAGGGCAGGGGGCAAAGACCAGCCCATGAACTTACTCCATGACATTTGGGAGTGAATCCTTTTATTTACAATTCACTCTGAAGGAGGCCCAAGTAAATATCACAATGACATGTAATGACATTCTGACAGCGCAACAGTAGACTGTAAATATTTATATTTATGTCTTAATACTGTAAAACAAAGACAAAGATTAATATCATTAACAAATATGGAAAATCCATAAAAATCCACAGCCCAAAACATACATACACCAGTACAAAATTTTAACTCAAGTCAATTCAATACTGTATTACTTATTTGATGATTCATATTAAGAAATAAAACTTAATACTTGTGCAAGCTACAGTAAACACTGTGGTATAAAACTGCTTTAATACATCATACCGTTAACATTCAAACCTGATTTATACATCCTTCAGCTCAATGGCTTTGCAAAATGAACCCAAACCTGAATCCTCACCCTGTATCACCACGGTAAACAGCCTGAATGGGCTGCAGCCACAGCTCAGGTACTCCAGGACAAAAAAACCTCATTTGCATTGTCCGCCATACCTCCTAACTGTCTTCAATCCATCAGCATGACAGGAAAACTGTTTGCAAAGTTAACCTGCACATTTTATACTACAATGAAACAGACCAGCTCCCACATTCTGGCCTTCCGTGTTGCAGGGACATTTATTTGCACTACGAACTTCACTCAGATGTCAGTCCTACTGCTAAAATGGCACACGGCATGCTGACAGAGAGCACAAAGCATGACATAAGAGCACGGGAATGGAAGCCTGGAGCCACATTCCTGACTGTCACCCTTAACCAAAAGAAGTTAATTTAAAGGCACAACGACACCTTTCAGGTTACCGCCAAATCACTTAGCAGCTCTCAAGTCAAATTTGTACAGTCGCAAACATATCATTACAATCCCCCCACGGTTCCATGGTGCCATGTTCGTCTGTGTTTGTTTGTATGTTAAGACTGCGTAAACGTGCAATTCACACTAGCCGTGAGCGCCTCCCGCCCCTGCCCCACCACAGCTGTAAAACCTGAGATATCTGCTAGCACCGTTTCACCACAAGTAGCATCCCCCTGTTATGAGCCTGCTGATGGTGGTGAGGCTCAGTTGACTCCCAAGCCTGATAGTGTTTTGACTGTCTGTATTTAAACAGAAACGACTGGATGTGACACAGCCCTATGCTCCCTGCCTTGCGGAATGGCTGTATCAAATGTCATATCTAAAGTTAATGATCCGAAACAGAACCTTCCCAATCCCATAAGCCCTTGACTTATATATTATGGCCAACAGACACTGATAACGGGAAATAAAAAAGAAAACATTACAACAAATGAATTGCAATAAAACTACAGTGTTAGCACTGCTTTAGGGCTGACAATAGTTCTCTGGGTGTGCCTGGGTAAGCAGTCTATTGGACTTGTTGCACAATAAAACATCTTGAATCTTGAATTAAGCAGTTAAATGTAGTAGGAGTAACAGAGAAACCACCTACTGTACAAGCTATAATGAAAAAGGCCATTTACCTAAATCACTTTTACTCCATACATACATACATACATCCATACATTAAAAAAATGTATTAACAGAAAATCCCCCAGCCTAGGTAATGGAGGGGGGGAGGGGGGAGTAATTTGACACTGGCTGAACATGCTACACATTAGTGGATATCTTGTACTTGGGTGACATATTGCTGTGGAACCAGACGAAGCTGAAGATCACGCCCATGGTCTTGGGGATGTTCTCGTCGTAGGCGAATCTGATGGCTTCATGTAAGGGCACCTTCACCACCTCGACGAGCTCCCCCTCCGACGCCTGCCTGCTGCCCTCGGCCACGCCCACACAGTTCTCATCTGACACCTCTGCGTAGAACATGGTCTGCTTGGCGCCGGTGACTCCCACGCCCAACCTACCAAAAAAAGGGGGGCGAAAAATTCATTGGTTCATTGGTTCACCGATGGGTCTCTTCCAGCCCTTCGCCCTGCTTTATGATCCTCATGCACAGCTGTGATAAAACAGCCAATGGTGAGAAGGTTCCATCTAATGACCACTTGATGGAAGACCCCCTTGCTCTAGGCAATGACCAAGCTTCAATGTTCCTTGTCACCAGAAGCCTGCCCGGTCCAGTTTGCTTTATAGTCCCAGAAGGAAGACAGTAGCATGATTTTCCCAGTCAAAGCTGCAGCTGGTCCACCTCCAGTCAGCCAGGGGTACTTGTCTGGAGGATCTGATATCCCTCATCCAGGCTGACGACCTTTTCCTGAGCGCCACAGCCGCTGTTTTGATTCGGTTGTCTTGCACCTGAAGTGCTGAGGGTCTAAAAAGCCCACAGCCCTTCTATCCCCCCCCCCCCCGCAAGAGGAAGAGCAAGCGTCACGCCATGCACTGCAGTCACTGGATCACTTAGGTGTTGTGTCACCCAAGGCATCTCCATGAGATCTCAACAGGATGGCCCAAGCACTTGGGAAAGGGTAGCAGCTACTGCGAGATAAAAAGTGGCCCTTTCTTAGGGAGATTCCCCACTTGTTTAACCTCATTCTGGGGGAACTCATCATTTGAAGGACTGAGAAACGTGCTGGAGAAAAAGCTCCCAAACACTGCCTGACACCCAGTTCAGCCAAAGAAACGTAAAAAAGGGAACAACCCATACATATGCCATTGGATATCTGATGCCTCGTATGGAGTTTGGCACAAACTGGGATTCAGCATTCAAAGGGAATTAAAACTCTGCTTAGTGCGAAGAGTGTCTGGTTCCTCAGAGGGGAGATACTGTGTAGCATTGCCCATAGGAGTCCTGCTGGAACATCCTGTGCGTGTCGCTTCCATTTAACTTTGATTAATGAGATGCTTAAATCCTAAAAAGGACCCATAAAAGAAAATGGGGCTTTCAATGCTACAGGACAAAAGACATTCCAGCTCAAGCCCAGGCACATTCCAAACAACCACTTTTAGTCAAACATTCCCCCTCACACACACCACCAAACATCAGTTTCATTTCTATTTTCCTCTTATTTGCTTCAATTTTAAGAAATCCAATCTGTGTTGACAGGCAGGAACCAGGACGGCCCTGGCTCGGGGCCTGAGGTATGTGCTATGCGATTGGTTTGGCCTGTGCCTGCCTGTAGGGGAGGGATGGGTTCATCCCTCATGGGGCTTATCTCAGGCACTGGCTCATGGCAGAATGGGGGCTGCCATGACACCCAAAGACTGGAGGTAAGAGGGGGACAGAGACAGACCCAAGCATGTTGCCAAATTGAAATAGTTGTTCGGTTTCTTCATGAGGGAGCTTGGGCCAAACCATGTGGGAGAACCTGACTAGCTACCCCCCCCCATGGGCCAGGGAAGAGCTTTGTTTACTGGACTGTCTTCAGAAAGGTGGCGAGATGGAACCGGTGAGGGACCGAGGCCGTTATGGATGTCTGTGGAGCAGACAGCAGCAGCGTTCACTTACAGGATCACAGTTAGCTTTACCAGCCATCAGTGTCCCGACTGCATCTCCTCACGATGAAAGCACTGGGCCTTCTCACCTCCAGCGAGCATTGAAAGGGTTCCAGGCATCATGTGTTAAAGACACGGCATGCAAAAACACATGCCCAGACGCTTCTGCATCATTTGCAACACAACTCTTCCTCAAAACCAGGACTGAGTCAATCCTAAAAATATCACAAAAGGCAAGAAATGATTCAGACATGATGACAACATGTATTATGGGCATCTGTGACTAAAGACTGGAGTTTCCTTGCAGAAGGAATTAAGTTTCTTGCACATCTACAGTGTGAGAATGACCAAATGTGGTTTTCCACATTTTTATGAATGAGATCATTTCTTTAGGGCTAGATGTGTATACGGAGATACACGGGGTCACTCATGTTAAGCCGTCATTAGGGGGACACACATGTGTTTATGTATGCAGATGTGGCCCACAGTTCACACCACACCACCAGCTGCAATTCCCATACACTTTGGAGTGGTGTGGCTGTGAAAACCTATGCTGGGAATCCACAGTGGCATCAGAAGCAGGTGCAGTTGCAGGCAGGTGTGTGGGCTCATTAGATACCTTTACAACATCAGCCTTCTGTCCCGTAGCTGATAGCAGCACAATGGACCATTGACAATCCCCAGGTGGTACCTGATTGCGGCTATATAAACCGATGTGTAAATCACTGCAATAATGGAGCCATATCCAGTCAATACATGGGCCAGTGGACACAGGTAGGCTGATAACTGCTACCTACATGAAAGCTTTTTGTCTTTCCAGTAGCTTAAAAAAGGAGAAAGTCCATGTGGTGTTCTGAACGAACGGCATGTGGGCAGTGGCAGCGAGATAAGGCCTGCGTCTGATGTCCCGAAGGGGATATACCTGTAGGAGGTGATCCTCCGCAGCTTGGTGACAGGAACGTCATAGCCGCACTCTTCTAGAACCTCCTGACGGGCGATCTCCTCCAGGGAAAGGTCAGGCTTATCCACTGGCCGGGCACACAACTCGTAGGTCACGCCCACTGAGGCTGGTGGGATGTCCTGGATGTGTCCCGAATCCAGCTCTGCATTATCTGTCTCTGTCTCAGCTGACTCCGCCCCCGGCTCTCCGCCCTTCGAAGCATCCTTCCCCGCCTCTTCGCTGACCTTCTCCTTGACCTTCTCTGGCTGGCTCTTCTCCCACTCACACATGTACACCGCTGCTGGGGAAGAAGGTTTATGTGTGAAAACACGTACATATATCCCTACATCTGTGTGCAACCCCTCTGTGTCTTTCATACTCATGCAAAATCCTTACACACACACACACACACACAAAGAAGTAAAGCATGCTCATCAACAGATGGGCCCTAAGGAAAAGAAAGTCCCCTAAAGTACATTGTTTGAATACTATTCTTTAAGTGTTTACTGCTGTATACTGTGCTGTTCTGAATGCAACGTCTTCCTTCCATTATTAAATAGGGTGGTGCCCATGTCCTGCAACGCCCACTGAAATAAATAAAAGGGCCTTTTTCTCTGCTGCAAACACTGAGCACGGAGAAGATTTATAAAAGGATTTCTGGAATAGGGACTCGCTAAAATCATGACTAATATCTGCTTTGTTTTCAAAATACCTCTGGCAAGGCGTTAGGGGTGTTTTATCGGGGTGATGCCTGAGACATTTCCAACGGGCACGGCGTTACGTGGGCCGCGGTCGGCTCTCGTCCGCGCCGCCCGGCGCGTCGTCCCGGCAAGCCCGACCTGACAGGGAGCAAGCGGCTGGGGCAGCAGCGTTTAAAGGCGCCCCCCAGGCACACGCCCAGGTGCAGAAACACAGACACGCCGACCTCCGCTGGCTTCCTACCCAGACTGAGTGGCTGGAGAACTTTGCTGCCCGGGGGGGTATTCTGTGCGGAGTGCTAGGGAGGGCGGGCTTGGAGCAAGAGCGGCGGATTACGCTGAGTATTCTGCGGTTTTATGACTGCAGTCCCCAGTTGCACAAATAAATAAAATAAAACAAAGGAATTGGGACTGGATAGACTGCAGGCGATCCTGTCAGATATAGCGTGGGGGTTGGGCAGGGAACTCAGGGTGGGGGGGGTAGGCGGCGTAGGTAATGAAGACATTTCGTCACACACAGGATAGAGCTCTCCTGTGGGATGGGGGGGGGCAGTACAATCTCATCACTAATGCCTTTGCGGCAGCACAGGGGGGCAGCTGAGCGGAAAATGATTTCCCAGCATTGGTGCTGCTGATGTCCACACACCTCCCGACACACGCCGGCAAGTAATGGCTGCGGGATACGGTTTTGAGACAAGGGCTGGTAACAGCAGCTACGGGAGGGATCAATAACAAGCGGCGTGACGCCACGGGATGCGGACACAAGGATCAAGCGAGGGAACGGAGGAGGAGACCGTACCTGGACGGAACTGCTTGACTAGGATGAAACAGTGACGGGTCGTGTTGAAGATCAAGACAGACACACTGTAAGGAAAGTCCAAAAACAACAAGATAAGGTTCAGAAAAACCTCAATAGTACCCCCCCGCCCTTACCCCTGAGCCACACAGCCCTGATAGACAGACACCCCCCCACCCCACATATCCATCACCAGCTCCCTTTTAAGCTTGAGAGAAACACTGAAATTATTTCACTTTTCTTTGCAGTCACGGATTAGATTGTGTGCTTGCATAAGCACTATTCACGCTAGTGTTGTGTTACTATAACACAGTTACTGTTAGGCACGCGAATCAGAAGCCTTCGACCAAGGAGGTTATGAATCATCTGTATATGTATCTGTGCGAACAGCCTCTGACCAACCCCCCCTCCTCCCCGTTCAGCGAAAAGGGGTGATTTAGGGTCGATAAAAAGAGAACAGTCAGCATCTGCAGTCCCTTCAGGCATGACTGGTCTCAGACGTGCCAGTGAGCCGGCTCAGTTTGGAGCTGCAGTCCCCTGTCAGGCCTGATTAGCTGGACTGCAAAGCACTGCTACATTAATGATGTCGAGCCGAGCCGCACGGCGCGTTAATGTCCTTCGGAAGGACGACACCGTGTAAATACACACGCACACAAAGCACCAGCGCGTACGTCAAAGGGGCTTTGATTACAGTGCCAGTGGCAGCCATGGGTCTAGAACACTGCAGTTTCCTCTGTCATTTACCACTTAAAACGTACACACAGCTTATTCTCACACCCACTTCCACGTAAACACCTCAGCACAAGTTGGGGTGGTGGTGGGGGGGGGGTGTTAAGGGGGAGCTTTTACGCTGAAAGAAAAAAAAATACGTCCCCCCCCTCATCTATTTGGGATGTCAGACAGTGTCAATTAAGCTGCAGGCTTTGATACAGGGGTGGTTGGACGCTCCTGCAGCAGCTGAAAATGTGAGGTTATCGCCTTAATTAATGCCTGGGCCTGCTCCATGTCGCCCCTGCGTCCTTTGAGCAACTCTTCAAGGGACTTTTGAAGTTCTTTCCCAGTCCCCCCCCCCCCACCCTGCCCCTTTTAAAGGCAAGGTCAGTTTGGTGCCACGCATCTTCTAATAATAGTAGGGTGAGACATGGATGACCACAGGAATGGGGCAGCACCTTGCCCCCCCCCCCCTGCTCACCCAGGATTAACATCCCCTCCTTTGTCTCGTCTCCTTACTCGCATTCTAATCTGCCGGCTAAACCTTCCTCTGAAAAAAAAAAAAAAAAAAAAAAACATCTTGATCTTAGGAATCTCACAATAATAGGATTTTTGGAGGGAAAGGACAGCACACACAATGGCTTAGCGGGCGTCCTGTGCCTCTTCACATGGAGGACGCTTCCACCAAAAGGGCTCAAGTGCAGGGCTTTATCGAACAAAGACCCAGAGGGTGCAGAGCAGGACGGTGGAGGGGGGAAGGGGGTCAATCACCTTTCCCACCTCAGACCTGAAGAAGACATTATAAAACCGGCCGCACATCGATCGCACGCCCCAGCTTCCATCTCCGGAAGCCCTTCATGGATAGATACAGGTACAGGAAGTCCTGCTTCTGCGGCGCCACCGTGCGCATCGTTAATTTGCCCGTGCGCGCGCACGGGGGAATACTCAAATAGCGGGGAACGGGATTACACGTATGGCTAAGATCTCGGCTCCGACGTGCGCGAGCGTGTCACCGCTGGGGCCAGGCAGCCGAGGCCTGTGTTGGGAAAACGGAAGCGGTTTAAGGTGCAGGAAGCCCAGCCCTGGATTTCCCATGGAGAAAGGGCGCTGTCCAATCATCTTTCTTAAGCAAAGAGAGGGAAAAAAGTGCATTATAAAAGCGAGGAGGGAAGCACTTTATCTACAGTGTTCGAGATTAATTTCAGTCCCTGATAATGAAATCGTGAACCTTTACTTGGATCCACGCCTTCACATACTTTTCTCCAGTATCCCTCTCAGCTCAAAAAAACAAACGCACTAGGAAGAGGAAACTTCCAGAAAGCGATCTGCCTTTCCTTGTAGGCTGCGGAGAGGCGATAAAGACGCCGACCGGACAACACCCTGGCTGCCCAAGTGGGTCAGGGTGACTCAGATCGGACGAAGGTCACAACCCCACAGGCCCGGTAGGCTTGTCACCAGAGCAGCTTCAAGAAATAAAAACCAAGGCAAAGCACAAAGCTCTCCTTACATTGCAGCCTGAACTTGAATTATGGGACTGCAGCCAATGGCAGCGTAAGTGCTTCAGAAACATCTGTCCTCCAGCCACTACTAGGTGTTCTAGCTCAGAGTCTCGCTGAAGATAATTGCTCTACCATCCAGCTGACACAGGGTCCTCAGAGCTGACATCACAAACACAAGAGAAGGTCAACTGACAATGGCTTCCCCTCAAGCAAATCTCTCATGTTTGTGTCAGACCACAAAGGACAAATAGCTGGGTGCTTCTCACAAAGAACCACAGAGACATTAATGACCCAGGCAGATGCTGGTTCACAGTGGCTTTACCTTTCACTCAGGCCTGGCATGTCTCTACTCTCCTTCATTGTTGTGAGGGACTGAAGAGCATCACTACATCTCTAGTTGTCCAAAGAGTGACGAAGAGGCTTCGTCATGGGAGAGTTAAACCAAACCCCCACTGCACCCTTGTTCCTTCACTGCCTCACTCCTTATACCTATAGGGTCATTTAGATATTGTATCACTAATCTTTCCTGATGGTTTTATTAATTTACTGTGCATAACTGTCTTTATAACACACTTCTTTTTGGATGTACACACATACAGTTACTGGGGAGATAACTAACGACTTTTCTCTAGCTACCTATGAACTTCAACTTCCTATCTGCTCTTGGAATGGTAGCCTGAAGAACCAAAGCCCTGAATGAGCCATTCTGGTGGTCATCAAGAGTTAGATGACCATTTGTTTGGCCTACTGTTGATTTGATTCATGGACAAATATGGGAAGGTGAAGGTGGGATGGTCACAGAGCTATGAATAAGCTTCAGTAACAAACGAGGCTTGAGTACTTTGTCTAGGATAAAAAGTTACAATTGACCTCAGTATTTCTCAGCCAGTTTTGCATGAAGTGATATGGACATTCAAGCCATTTTATGACCTCAGACCTGGTCATACCATATTACAGATGCATTCTCACCTGTCATGGGTCTGCATAAAGTCCCAAGACTTCCTGGTTCCATTCTGTGAACAGACAAAAGAGGCATCACAAAATTAGCCAATATATTACTATTTATTTATTATATATAAAACTCATCCAGAACAGAGAAGTGGACAGAGGGATTCTTTCCTGGGGCATAAAGCTGATGTTTGATTATCAGGGATTCCAAGGATTAAGGTAGTCAGATCTAGCAACTTTATTAGTACCATTTACAAGCAAACAACAGAGTTCACCCCAGATTAAGAAGCTCTTGGTTCTTAAACTGCTTATTACAGGGAGAGCATAAGAGCTTTTTTTTCAGTACTCGGGTCACAACACGTAGTTTGCTGTAGGGGAACGTACATACAGTGCAGCAAGGAACCCTGTTTGGAATGCAGGAAAATGGGGGGGGGGGGGATAAACCCATCGCAGGGGGAATCATTGCAAAAAAAAATTTTACACCCACACACACACTTTCCTGTGCACAAGACATGTGGGGAGAGATGTATGGGTTTGTCAGACTGCAGGAAGAACAAGTAATGTGGGTGATCTGAAAGGAAAATGCTATAAATTAAATAAACACTGTGAGGAAATTGCTTTCCCCCCCCAGGTCGCCAGGCTGAGCTGTCATGTCATCCAGTCATGTGTAAAAAGCTCTCCGAATCCTAGGATGGAGACCAAGGACAACCCCATGAGGGGAAATGATGTGTGTTTCTGTGCATGTGTGTGTGGCAATAAGGCCTAATCTCACCATAAAAACAAACAAGAAAATAAACGCACGACTGTGTTCGATTTCCCCAAGTGAGTTGCTCTATGGGCGGGAGCCGCCCGTGCCCTTCGTGGCCTTGAAGCAGAGGTGCCGTCAAATCCGTTTGCAAGCCTGACGGTGGTTACCCGCACGCACGCCGCACGCACGCCGCACGCACGCCGCCCGTTCCGCGACAAACCTCCAATCTGGGCAGAAGCTGAAATTCGACACAAGCAGAGCCCACATGCCACACGCCACATCTGCTCCTCGGAAAGACACCTTCAGCGAAAACAAGGGTGACTCCTCGTCCTCTCCAGCATCCGTGGATTTCGCTAACAGCAGGGAACATATCTTCATGTTAATGGACTCCTTCTAGTCAAACCCCGTCTCTTATGAAAAACCAGCACATCTCAAGTGACAGCCATTAAACATGCAGAAAAAAATGGTAGGTCAGGCCAGAACTAATGACTGAAATGACTCACCGAGAAATGACAGATTTCAGCTCTCATTACAGCTAGCACATTGAGATAAAAATGGTTATTTATGTCATCTTTATTACTGAGCAGTATTTCTTATCTAAGAGCTCCTAGCGCAATGATGGTGGGCAGGACAAACATCATGAATATACATTAGTTTTTACCAGAGGTGCTATAAAGCTTGACAAATAATGACAAGATCTGCCAAAAATGTGTAGCATAACAAAGGAGTTACCAACAGCTAAATGAAAACGGAAAAATCATGGATAATTAGCCAGCTATTGAAGATAATCATTTAGGTTTTTTTTCTTATTAGCAATGACACAAAATGCAGATTTAATGTAGACACGTGTTGATATAAAAATATACAGCTAACCAACCAGTACTGCTCACTCCTGAATAGTAATGAGTTATCACATTTTCCAGAATGACCTAATAAGCAACACGATTCCATTTAGCTTTAGTTACACATAATTGTATCAAGCTAATTTTGGACTGCATGAAATTGTGCCTGTTTCTAACCAAATCATTGCCTAAAATATGCTCCTGAGAATCTCCGCACTGCTGAGCAAATCTCTGGCAGGGGCCCTGGATCAATTGGCTCATTGTTGCAGACAGAAACAGGGTTTTATATACAGTGTTATATTAGAACTCCTGGCACAAGGCAAAACCGAAATAAATGTTTCATACACCAAGCTGCATGGAGGAGAAAAGGAGAAAGGAAGAGGAGAGGGAGGTGTCACAAGCGGGCGGCTCTTCATACCAGTCCTTGTTAATCTCTTTGACCTTTCCAGCACTGGCTCCAATTCACTTTCTTTATGCAGAACCCAACATTGGGATATACTTACCTCATTCACCTGTCAATCAAGCAATAAGCCACAAGCAGCATACCAGATCTATAGTGACAATCAGGGCAGTGTTTCCCAACCCGGTCCTCAAGGACCCCAAGACAGTCCACGTTTTTGCTCCTACCGGGACTGTCTAGGGGGTACCTGAGGGTTGGGAAACACTGAATCGGGGTAATACCGAGAGCAATGGACAAGCCCTTCAATAAGATCCAATATTATGAAAGGCACCACAAAATTAATAATAAAACAATTACAATGTGCTTTCGAACACACAATTTTGATTGGTCCGTCTTCTCTGCAGCTGGGTTTACTGGTCCTTTCATAATTCATATGACTGGCTAGTGCTCCAGTCTTACGGGATTTTTGCAGGAGTGCAGCTACCATACAAGCGTGAGTCATCGAAGGTGTGACACAGATCGCCCCAGCCATCATCCCACAGCTTTCCTGCAGGTCCCAGTAAGCATCTCTGTCCTGCCCAGAAACTACACGCCATCTTCCATCAGCCAAACAGAGAAGCAGGTGTTTCAACAAGTAAGAAGCTTCATCACTGCTGTTTTAATTCAAATAAGATGTATACATACAGCTGAAAGCTAATACCTCAAGCTGTATAACCCCTCATCCCAATCAGAAGTTAGATTGACCGGTCCTCTGTTGATGAACATACGCTACCTCCCCTAGGGTTACACTGAAAAGAGACAAAGGCATTTACTAGGGCTGGGCAATTAATTGAATTTTAATACCAATTACATTTTTGGCTACCAGTGATTATCAAAAGAAAATAATCAACAGAAAACAATTATTGTGGCACATTTCATTTAGCAATTTCTCATGTTATAAATCCAGCCCATTTTTATTTGTTTCTCAGTTGAATTATATTTAAAGTTCAGGGAAATCCACTTGATCATGATCTTCCATGATCTTTCCAAAGTCAATGATTAATTCTGTTAATCGTGATGTCAATGCTGATCAAAATAATTGTGATTATGATTTTTTTTTTTTTGCCGTAATCGAGCAGCCCCAACAACAACCCACCCACAATCACCATGTTTCAGCCAATCATCTGTGAAGCAGCCCTAAGCCACACCCACTGAGCATCTTCTGTGCCCTTGGGCTGTCAGCAGCATTTGGAAGTCAGGCAATCGACAGGGAGGGGTAGCATTTTATTCAATACATGCGTCACAGCATTTCTATGGAAAGTCAGGGCCTCTCTTGCCTTGTCCTGTGCTGGTTCTCATTCCGACGAAGGTCTGGTTCTACTATAAGGTAGTACAGATTCTACAGTTTGTTATAGGATCTTCCTCAGCTTCGCTAGAAAAGTCGCTTAGAAAGATCACAGTCTGGGTTAATTTCGTTTCTTGCCGAAATCCTCTTTTATCTGAAGGCACTCTGGAGCGAAGCTCTTCGCAGGAAACGGCATTAAAACAGCTGCCAAAAACAACGGAGCCTCGTGATGAATATTTCAAAAGATCTCAAGTGATGATAGAGCACACAAAGCACGTTTTGATCATGTCCCGCTCGTCCGTCTTCCCGTCCCGCCCAGGACCGTTCCTCTCTCCTCCGACACACGACTGGTGCAGAGTCATGCCCGCCTCTTCCCCCCAACCCTGAGGACAGGGCGGCGGGAGGAGGGGGGTTGGGGTGGTGGGATACCACAGTAGGCAGACAATACGCTCTTTCAGATGAGGCTGACTGCAGCGAGACGTGCCAAAGACACATGCCACTCTATGGCCGACATCACGGGGGAAACCCCACCCAAAGAAGACATCGAGGCACTGAAGTCCACAGAGGTAGGGTGACTGTCAGTTACGGCCATCGTTTGTCACCAGGTGCCATTCCAATACTCGCTGTGCCACTGAAGGCATCCCTCATCCCCACAGACCCACAGGTGTGTTACAGTTGGTCTCAGAGACAACAGCAACAAGGGGAGAATCACAGCGCGTCTACAGTACCACCCTCACAGGATGCAGCCCACTCCCCTGGCAGCCTGGGACGGCCTCCATGTGGGCATTGTTCAGAACACTCACATTTAGGAAGGATGCAGATCCAGAACTGGCATAGCGGGTGACAACCACCAACTCACCACCAAAACACTGCAGATTCAAATTACAGAGAAAACGCCGCCATACCCTTAGGTGAGGATTTAACCTGAATATTTTCAGTGAGTATCTGTCTGTACATGTGGGCAATAGTAGGTCATCAGCTCTGCACAGTCACTTTCTCCGGGAAGAACACCTACCTCCATGTGGCGCAGCCCATCATAGGTGTGCAAGGAGCAGAGAGGTAGACTTTCAGGGGGTGGGGAGGTTCTGAGAAACGGGTCTTCCCCCTCTCCTCCGCAAGGGCCGCAGACATGCATTGTTTCATGCGAGTTCACTGACAGTGCACGCTCTCCCGCTGGTGGACGCATGCAGATTAAACCACTTCCTTCTGGGGTCACGTAATTATGAACACCAACCAGAAATGGAGCAGGAAGTGCCCACAACCTAACACCCACCCCCACCCCCCAGCGCTCTCCCATCCTTTTCCCCGATTTCTTGCTCAGATTTCCCATTTTCCGGAAAAAAGGCTTGCGCAGGCCACGGTGGCAGTGCTGAGCACATTTTCCGGAACGAGAGGCAGATTCAGACACGACGGCCGGGCTTGCCGAGGGCAGAGGGACCGAACCGCACGAGAATCAGGCAGCAACAAGTACAAGCAAGCGCAGATCCCTGCAAAATATTTCCCTGTGTTTAAGTTCATGAGCTGACGGCACTTTCACTCTCTGGTATATAACGTGGGCTATCCACCCCCCCCCACAAACAAAATAACAGATGGGGGGACACCGTGTGTATTTCCGTGAATGCACACAGGCAGCGCCAACGGAAAATGGCTCGTAAATAACATGCCTGACATATCACACTTAATTACGGAGTATGCAGGCTGCGTGGACGCAGGGACGCTCACGTGTAATTACAGCGAGTCGGTATGCGTGT